GAAATAGAGTTGATTAACGATTAATTGTCGGTGTAGTTAAACGTCCAATGATTTATTGTCCAGTATTTCAGTAAAACTTTCATGTACATCGAACCTATTATACTGAACAAACTATACATTTAGGCAAGATTTATTTCTAAAGGAAGGAGGAGAATGAAAAACAAGGAGGAGTGGCGGGATGCGTGATTGGGCAGAAGTCTCATTAAGAAGCTGAAATTAGATGAGTTTCATTAAAAAAAAGAAATAATTTTGTCTTCTAGTAACAAGAATTCGCTGAGAACTAGTGACAGTCGAGTTTGTTTAATTAAACCTACATTGTTCAACCTTCAGTTTTATTAGTAAATGTTTAATTATTATTAACTACTAAATAAATCAGAATTTATAAGTATAATATACAGTTTGTGTGTTTTAGAACAAAGCCACATTAGGCTATCTGCTGAAGCCACCGCGGGAATCGAACCTCGGATTTAAGCGTTGTAAGTCTGTAGACTTACCACATGGAGACATAACGTATAGAGTTTCTACTTCCTTAGAATTTTGAACAAATCGTCATTTTTCATCGTGCAACTGAGAAAAATAAATATTGCTTAATCAATTCAAAAATACAATAACAGAAACAGTAAGGAAGTTCTGGTTTAAATATTTTCCTTTATAATTAAAAACGGAAGATTTGATTGTTTCGGTTTCATTATTTTTATTTCATTTAGCTCCTTTCCTTGACCCAACTCACACACGTATAGACATATCTATTGGTTTCTACTTCAAATACATATTTATTCTGGCGCGGGGTGGGCGTTTATTTAGTTACCAGACGGGTTGTAGAGCCAGCAGCACTTAACAACGTATAGAACATCTACATTGACCTCTTTAGTATTCCATAGTATAGTGTCACTTCTCGAAGGTTTCTATTGTTATTCGTAATCCATAAATAATACGTAGTTCTCGTTATTTATGTCTTCATCTGTAGTCTGCGTACATCAAAATCCTTCAGAGGGAATTTTGGACTTCGATCTAACATTTCATTGACAAAGGAGAAGGAGGAAGAGGTCCCCGCGTACCTGACCCTTCTAGGTCACAAAGACCTAAATTCCGACCAGGAGAAGAGAGACAAAGAAGAGGGCATGTGACGTCAAGAGAACCCTGTTCACGTGGTGTGGTCAGAGAGGGAGTATAAAGGCGTGTTTACAATACAAGGTCTGGAAAACTTTCCAGTATCCCTTTTGAAGATAAGACGATTCAGATATGATTTTTTTTTATTGTAATCGTGATTACACTCTGCCTGATTAATTCTGTTACAGCATCCGTATTCACAGATAAAGTAGAGAAAAAGAACGGTAAGGACTAGTCCATACTTGTCCATAACAATCATTATGTGTTTCACATTAAAGGACTCTACACATTGCAACGTTTAATTGTTCTGTACCAATAAAACTACCATACTGGTTGTTCGTCAAATATACTCTGGTAGTAAACAGAGAACTATTTTGGTAATAAAAATAACTTATTTACAGTTTTAACTCATATAATGAATTTAAATGGAATAAGAATATAACAAAATTAAAGCATCGGGAAAAGACTGTTTGTTATACTAGGCGCCATTACTGTTTGTTATACTAGGCGCCATTACTGTTTGTTATACACTGTAGTGGCGCCTAGTATAACAAACAGTAATGGCGCCTAGTATAACAAACAGTAATGGCGCCTGGTATAAAAAAACTGTAGTGGCGCCTAGTATAACAAACAGTAATGGCGCCTAGTATAACAAACAGTAGTGGCGCCTAGTTTAAAAAAAATTTATACTAGGCGCCATAATAGTTTGTTATACTAGGCGCCATTACTGTTTGTTATACTAGGCACCATTATTGTTTGTTATACTAGGCGCCATTACTGTTGTTATACTAGGCGCCATTACTGTTTGATATTATTATTTTTTTGGTTTGTTTAACTCTCATATTCAATCAACACTTTTGTTCAATAGTTGTGAATTGCCGGTTTTATCGATTCAGTCGTGTTTATAATAGATATTAAAGGTTTAATTTTTAAAATTTAGATTTTTTTAAAAGTGGTTGCTACCAACCAGCCTTGATTTTCGACAGATTGAAAATAAAGGTGTGGTGTACAATGACGAGAAATGTGAGATTCTTGTCTGTGATGCAGATGGAGCTGAAGCTGTTATTAATGGAGCAGGGTATCTAAATTGTCTCTATTTTAAAGTTTAAAATACTGTTTTCTAAATGTAAAGTTCAAGAAATCTAAGTCTATACAATAGATGTAACTTCACTTTTAACAATTAGAAGTAGAATAATACCTACGTAACAACGTGGATTGGGCTAAATTATCAGTAAGAGAATAATTCCTTTTTAGCATTAACCAGTGAAGTGTCATAAAAAATTATTCTGAACCTTCACTGATCTTACCTTTGACCGGCAGGAGGGATAACGATAATGTACTATAGGGCTGAAGTAAAATGTGGTGTCATTTTCTCTGAAAAAGATGAATTTGTAACTATGGCAAAGTTACTAGAGCTGTCTAATTTTAACTACTGACCAGTGGTAAGGCAACCAGTCAGCAAAATCCTACAACAAACAGTCCATGCTAAGGGACTAATTGTTACTCTTATAACGTATCCACAACTTGAGGTGTGGGAAATATTTTGTGGGAGCGGACGAATTCAAACCCAGCTCGACAACTCCGAAAGCTGAGCCAACCGTAGGTTAGTAATGCATTCAAGGTTGTTATGTTGATATGAGCTCAACCACAACTTGTGCCCATTAAAGACAAAGCACTGGAATAATGCTATTTTCTTACTGGTTGATGTTAGATGTAAATACTTGTCCTATTATTATCTAGACAATATTTTTGGTGTTTAAGTGTAACACAGTTATGTATTTAAAATTTATGTTTTTAAGAGCATACAAAAACTCCCCATTAAATAAGTAATTTACATAGTTGGACTGTCGAAAGAATAAGAAATTTAGGACTGTTTCATGTTTTATAACATCTTGATTTTATAATTATAATTATCCCCAAACCCTGTGTGGATAGATAGGCGGATAAGTTAGAATTGTTACTCGTTTTGAAATGCTTGTAAAGCAAATATATTTTCTGTTTTGATATTTGTCTCTTAGTTTGTTTTTTTATCATTTTACGTAGCAGAGTTCAACTGATTGTGTCCTTAAACTATAATGCTGTATAAAATGAAATTATTCATATTGTATTACTATTATGATTTCTTAACTACATGTATCTATTGTAAGCCAGAAGTATTTATCTACTAAAAATATTGTTTTATTGATTTTATTTACTTATTTTACTTT